GAAGGAAGGAAGGAAGGAAGGAAGGAAGGAAGGAAGGAAGGAAGGAAGAAAAAAGAACATAGAAGGCAGGGCTGAGTTAGTTCCAGAAGTGGCAGGACCATTATGGATGTCTCAATGCCTGTTTAAAAACCTTAAAACTGGCCAGGCACAAGGGTGCACATCTATAATCCCAGCACTTTGGGAGGTAGGAAGGACCTTCCTTCTTTGTCAAAAAGACTCCTTAAGGCCAGGAGTTCAAGGCCAGCCTGGGCAACATAATAAGACCCTGCCTCTACAAAAAATTTTTAAAAACTAGCCAGGCTCTGCAGGAATTCAATGTGGATGCCCAAAGAAAAAGAAAGACTAGCCAGGCACAGTGGCACATGCCTATAGTCCCAGCTACTTAGGAGGCTGAGGAAGGAGGACTGCTTGATCCCAGGAGGTCAAGGCTACATTGAGCCAAGACTGCACCACTGCACTCCAGACTGGGCAACAGAACAAGAAAACATCTCTTTTAAAAAAACAAAAAAAGGTTCATGCTCAAGCCTGCTCCCACTGTGGAGTGTACTTTCATTTCAGTAAATCTGTGCTTTCATTGCTTAAAACAAAACAAATTTTTTTAAAAAACCTTAAAACTAATACTTCATACTGCATTTTGAAGTCAGTAAAAGCTCCAGGCATAGAGATAAAATTTAGAAAAATGGAATACAGTCAATTTCAAGTTCTTTGAGGGCTTATGAAAGACTCTGCAGGCCAAGCTTAATCCTAGCACCTTGAGAGACCAAGGCAGGAGGATCGCTTGAGCCCAGGAGTTCAAAACCGGCCTATGCAACAATGCAAGACCCTGTCTCTACAAAGAAAATTTAAAAATCAGTCGAGTGTGGTGGGCCTGTGGTCCCAGCTACTCAGGAGGCTGAGGTAGAAGGATCTCTGGAGCCTGGGAGGTTGAGGCTGCAGTAAGCCATGATTGCATCACTGCATTCCACTATGGGCAACAGAGTAAGACCTTGTCTCAAAAGAAATAAAAAGATCTTGCATATGAAACTAGTACAATGCTCTACATGGAATGATCACTTTTTTTTTTTTTTAAAGACAGTCTCACTTGGGCTGGAGTGCAGTGGTGCAATCTTGGCTCACTGCAACCTCCACCTCCTGGGTTCAAGCGATTCTCCTGCTTCCGCCTCCTGAGTAGCTGGGATTATAGGTGCCCACCACTATGTCCAGCTAATTTGTTTATATTTTTAGTAGAGAAGGGGCTTTACCATGTTGGCCAGGCTGGTCTCAAACTCCTAACCTTGTTATTTGCCTGCCGAAGCTTCCCAAAGTGCTGGGATTACAAGCGTGAGCCACCACACCTGGCCGGAATGATCACTTAACAAAAGATCAGACAGCACATCAGATTAATAAATGATCCAGATGTCTAGAATATACAGTTGATCTAGAAATCATTCGTTAACTTATTCAACAGATATTTACTGAAGATCTACTATGTGCCAGGCAGTGTTCTAGAAGTTAGGGACACAGTGCTATAAAAGAGAAATAAAGGCCCCATTCATCATCAATATAGCCTCAACCAAGTTAGTTTATGAGCTGTCATTTCTTTTTTTTTCCCCCCCACCCAAATCTCATTTTGCATAGGAGCTGTCATTTCAATCACATCATCCAAACATGAAAACTGGGATTCTGGCTAAGCGCGGTGGCTCACACCTGTAATCCCAACACTTTGGGAGGCCAAGGCAGGCAGATCGCTTGAAGTCAGGAGTTCAAGACCAGCCTGGCCAACATGGCGAAACTCTGTCTCTACTAAAAATACAAAAATTAGCTGTGGTGGGCACCTGTAATCCCAGCTACTTGGGAGGCTAAGGTACAAGACTTGCTAGAGCCTGAGAGGTGGAGGTTGCAGTGAGCAGAGATTGCCCCACTGTACTCCAGTCTGGGTAACAGAGCAACACTCCGTCTCAAAAAGAAAAAAAAAAAAAAAGGATTCTGCAAGAGCCCCAGGTGTCATAGAGATCTCAGGGCTACAACTATAGGCCTAAATAAGAACTGGTCCCTGCTGCTACTGAACATCAAAGGCTGAAACACAAACAGCCCAATAGCTGACCCTGAGTACTACAGAACTTCCCAGATTTGTTACTCACAGAAGATCCATCCTCTTCATGTAAGCCCTCTTTCCTCAGCTGTATTTTCTCTAAAGGGCGTAAATAAGGACTGTCCCAGCAGAACCACTCGTCATAACGATGGTTCCAACGCTTGAAATGGATGAGTACTTTTCCTTCCTCGTAGTCAATGTCTTCTATGTGAGCTGGATACCTGAGTCAGGAAAAAAAAAATTGACATTCCTTTAATACCCACCCAAAATATCCAAATATCCATAATGGTACATTTCTAAACCTTTTCCCAAAGGGGAAGGTTACCAGGCCTACTATTTAGACACTCTGTGTAATTGGGTCAAATCACAAATTATGGAGGGTAACAGATTTGAGGTCCAAATCCAAACCTGCATATTCCTTAGTTTATGAACTATTAAATTAAACGTTCAGAGTCTGAGTTCCCTCATGTAAAGTGGAAGAAGCACACTGGGTTGTAGTGTGGATTAAACAAGAGGACATATACAAAGGACTTGAGCACACCAGAGGCAGGAAGAAAACATTTAACAACTAGTTTATATTTTACATGTGCCAATAAATCAGAATGACCATGCAACCCAGACTGTATCAGACAGTCTCAATCTTAAGCATTTTGTAAGCTATATAATGGAATACTACTTAGTTATTAAAAAGAACAAGATTATTTTATCTGTCAAGATATGGAAAGCTCTCCCAAGATATACAGTTATATGATGCAGAACATTGTATATGCTAAAGTATTGTTTTGTTTTGTTTTGTTTGTTTGTTTGTTTATTGAGATAGCATCTCAGTCTGTCACCCAGGCAGAAGTTCAATGGCGTGATCTCGGCTCACTGCAACCTCCCTCTCCCTGGCTCAACTGATCCTCCCACCTCAGCCTCCCAAGTAGTTGAGACTACAGGCACACACAACCATACCCAGCTAATTTTCATATTTTCTGTAGAGACAGAGTTTCACTATGTTTCCTAGGCTGGTCTCAAACTCCTGGGCTCAAGCTACCTGCCAACCTCAGCTTCCCAAAATGCTGGAATTACAGCATGAGTCACCACATCTCGTTTATTTTTTAAAGAGGAGAAAAAGGATATGTATTCACATATGCATATACATGAAGTATCTGGAAGGATGCACAAGAAACTAACGATGATTACCTGTGGAAAAGTGGGGTTAGTTCAGTAGATGGTCTCTTTCAACCTCCATTCAACCTTCTTTCTAGATTGAGAGTTGGGAAAATCAACAACTACATTTCCCTGACTTCCTTACAATTGGTAGCCAAGGTCATGAAGACCCTTGGGTTAGTGGCCAGATCCAGTACAAGGCCTATCAAGGTTCCACATAGACGTAAATCATCGGAGTATCCTGTTGAAATGAAGATTCTAATTCAGTATGCCAAGCTAGGGCCTAAGAGGTTTCACATGCTCCCAGATGCCACTGCTGCTGCTGGTTTGCAGTAGCCAGAGCCTAATGTCTAATCATTAGTTTCATGTGTATCAAGCAGCAGTAGTGCATATGGCAGTGCCAGCAGTGACTTCCTGACCTCTAGATCACAGCTGTAATTATGGGCCTTTCAAAATGATATTCTAAGGGCAGCCTCCTTGAGTCCCACTCTTCCAGCCCTTCCAACAACTTTATTAAGTACCCAATTTCCTATGTTAAATCCTTTTATGGTTAAAATATTCAGACTGGTTTCTGTTTTCAGCATTTATCCCTGACACAAGAGAGGTACCTGGATGGCAGGGCGGGGGGTGGAGGGGTGGTAGTGGCAAAAATAGGAGGAAGACATTTGCAGTATACCTTATAATACTTTCTTATTTCAGCCATATAAAGGTATTGCTCATTCCAAAAAATAAATGGTTAAAAATAAAAATATTGTATGCAGTTGCTCTCTGAAAACACTTGTATTAATCAAATAGCTATTCTAGATTGAGAAAGTTTACATTCTATCTGTATTTTCTACCTGCAACCTGGTTTGTACTATTTCCTTCCTTTCTCATATCCAGCACCTAGTACAGCGCTGTCCTAATAAACACTTGCTACCTGAATGAACAGTCCTGCTTTCTTGTGTCTGTATACTGTGTACTTTTTAACCCTACATTACCATCCTCTAAGGTAGTTTGCTTGATGTTAACTTATTGCAGTACCTTGTACATACTAGGTAATCAATAAATGTTTAGCAAATGAATTCCACTCTTCTTATTCTTCCCAAAGGTCATGTATTCTGTCAGTTTATTTAATTCCAACATTCTCAGGCTCCAGCAACCTATTCCAATTTCACTCCTCAAGTTCAGGCCCCCTTAATGTGTATATTCCTCACAGAGGGCTGGAAGGGTATGTTTTCCATAATTCCCAATGCTACTATACATGCATTAATTGCTCAAACATATTAACAGATGACATAAAAAACCCTGAAATTAGTCTTCCTACTCAAATCCAACTGACAGTTGCTATAAATACAAGACATCTTGACAGCAGACTGGCTAATTGCCTGATCTGACAAATTAAATACTACAACTGAAGGAGATAAGAGAGTATTCCCCAAATCCACTCCTCTCTGTAAAATGGGGAGAAGGACATGAATATGGCAATTATATATCTCTTGCCCTCTCATTCATTCAGCTTACCTGAGGCTAGTAAACCTGTCTAAAATAGCACAAGCTGTCCTAACATATTCCTATTCAAACCACTTTCTTTAATGGTTTACTATGTCTAGCAACAATTTTCTCACACAGGGTTCTTGGACTAAGGCAGGAAATTTTCTTCACACAGAAATCACTTTTCTTTTTTTGAGACAGGGTCTCGCTCTGTTGCCCAGGCTGGAGTGCAGTGACACAATCATGGCACAGTACAGCTTTGATCTCTTGAGCTCAAGTGATCCTCCACCTCAGCCACCAGAGTAGCTGAGACTTCAGGCTCACACCACATGCCCAGCTAATTTTTTGTTATTTTTTTGTAGAGGTGGAGTCTCACTATGTTGCCCAAGGTCTTGAACTTCTCGGCTCAAGTATCCTCCTGCCTCAGCCTCCCAAAGTGCTGGGATTACAGGCATGAGCCACCATATCCCACTTGAAATCACATTGTTTCTAATTTTTGGTATTTAAATATACCTTTTAAATTAAAACTATAACAAGTGTTTGTTTTTAATACCCTTCCTAATATTACACAGCCTTCAAAAAGAATAAATCAGCTCTATGTACAGACATTAAAAGATCTCTAAGAAATGTTGGGGGTAGGCCGGGTGCGGTGGCTCATGCCTGTAATGCCAACACTTTGGGAGGCCAAGGCGGGTAGATCACGAGGTCAAGAGATCGAGACCATCTTGGCCAACACAGTAAAACCCCGTCTCTACTAAAAATACAAAAAAAAAATTAGCTGGGCATAGTGGCGCTCGCCTGTAGTCCCAGCTACTTGGGAGGCTGAGAGGCAGGAGAATCACTTGAACCCAGGAGGCACAGGTTTCAGTGAGCCAAGATCGCACCACTGCACTCCAGCCTGGCACCTGGTAACAGAGCAAGACTCTGTCTCAAAAAAAAAAAAAAAAAGAAAGAAAGAAAGAAATGTGGGGAGTAAACATAAGATGTCAAACAGTATTTGAACGCACTACCATTTATGTGGGGGAGGGAGAGAGCCAATACAGTCATACTGTTTTTAAATGTGTGGGCTATCTCAGGAAGGACGATCAAGTAACCAGGTTTGCCTCCTGGGAGGGGAATCGGATAGTTTTAAGGAATTGGAAAGGAAGTATGAGACTTATTTTATTCACCATACATCTTTTTGGACATTTTGAATGCTGTACTACGAGCACATATTAACTATAAAAAGTACATAACTATGTACTTATTTTAAATGTCCTTATTTGGCAAAATTAAAAGTTGGCAACCTCAGGGCAAACCTTAAATTCTTTTGAACATGTATTGGTCAGAAGTCAGGATTCACAGAATCAAGTGTGAACTCCTAGGCCAGCAACTCCATCGCTCTGAAGGGTCTTTAGGTCCTCAGCTAATGTAATACTTCTCCCTATGCTGTGAGTTGTTGACAAAGAAAATTAAAAAAAAATAAAATAAAAGCTTCTCCCTCATTCAAAAAATTTTTACTGAGCACATGAATCCCACTCTCTGCTGACCTAAACAAACCCCTCCAAGAGGCTCAACAGTAAGTAGCCAAGGGACAAAGTTTTCAAAAGAGAAAGTTGTCCTCCCCACTTCCCTAAAGTGTGACAAAGATGCCAAGTTACTTATGGTGGTGGGGACCTAATCACATTTCAGAGAAGAGGGAGGCTGCAAAAACCATCTTAGACATCAACCTGGTAAGACTTAGTGGATCACAAATGCTACCTGCCTTAGGGACAACTTAGCTTCATCAGTCAACAAGAATTTATTAAGTGCTTTTGATCTGACTAATCAATTCTAGGTCTTGGAAAGGATTATACAAACATGTGTTCTGGCCCCTGCCCTTGAGAAGAACTAGACAAATAAAGGAATTAGGCTTTATAACTTTTAGGCTGAACCACATTTAATTGCTGATAATCAACTGCTTTTTTACCTACCAAAACAGCAATTTTATCTGGTTCAACCCAAATATTTGGATAACCACAAAGCAGGCTGAAGACAATGAGGCAAGGTTAACAAAGGAGATATGAATGGAATTTGTACAGGTAGAAAAAGGAAGAGAGAATTTCTAGCTTTCACGTGCAATTAACAGCCACTGATGAGACTCGAATTTCCAAACTAACTTTGCAGCTGGGAGTTACATTTCTAACCAATGGGAATATTAACCAGAAAGGGGAAGATAATCAAACTAATAACAAAAATCAACTTTTGGAAGGAGACAGGGACTAAGAATAGCAAAGAGATTTTTGCTATAGTGTGAATTTTACAAAGATTTAGTCAACTATTACTTGTGTAGGTAAAAAATACTTTTTTGTTGTTTTTTTTGTTTTTTTTTTGAGACAGGGTCTTACTCTGTCAGAGTACAGTGGTGCAATTTTCACTTACTACAGTCTCACCCTCCCGGGCTCAGGTGATCCACCTCAGCCTCCTGAGTAGCTGGGACTACGGACTCACACCACCATGCTTGGCTAATTTATTTTATTTATTTTTTTTTGGTATTTTTTGTAGAGGCAGGGTTTTGCCATGTTGCTCAGGCTGATCTCAAATTCCTGGGCTCAAGAGATCCACTGGCCTTGGCCTCCAAAAGTGCTAGGATTACAGGCTTGAGCCACTGCACCTGGCCAAAAAATACATACTTTCAAATTAAAAGTTTTTTTTTTTTTTTTTTTCCATTTCCACAATCAAATCAATGGTATTGCATAAATTAAAAGTTTTTAAAATTTTTTTAAAGTTATCAACTGATAGTTTCATGAATATTACGTTTATGTGCTGCTATGGCACGCCCACAAAATGGCATATTACATGGCCATAAGAAAGAATGAAGACAGACTATATGAACTGATATGAAAAGATTTCCGTGACACATTAAGTTTTTCAAAAACAAGCTACAGAATAGTACATATTTTATGATACCTTTTGTGTTGTAAAAGAGGAAAATAAGAATATTAGCTGGGGCATGGTCGTTCATATCTATAATCCCAGCACTTCTCGTCTCCCAAGATGAGAAGAATCACTTAAAGCCAGGAGTTTGAGATCAGCCTGAGCAACACAGCAAGACCCCATTTCTAAAAAAAAAAGTTAAAAAAAAAATTATCTAGGAGTAGTGGTGTGCACCTGTTGTCCCAGCTACTCACTCAGAAGACTGAGGGGGGAGGATCACTTGAGCCCAAGAGTTCAAAGCTGCAGTGAGCTATAATTGTGCTACTGCACTCTACCCTGGGGACAGAGTGAGATCCCATTTCAAAAAAACAGTAATAATAAATTTTAAGAATTTTCAGCCTTTGTCAAGAAGATTATAAAACTTTTTTTTCTTTTTTTTTTTTTTTTGAGATGGAGTCTTGCTCTGTAGCCCAGGCTGGAGTGCAGTGGCACGATCCCGGCTCAATGCAACCTCCACCTCTTGGGTCCTGGTTCAAGCAATTCTCCTACCTCAGCCTCCCAAGTAGCTGGGATTACAGGCACGATCTTTTCTTTATTCGTTTTTTTGAGACAGACTCTCGCTCTGTTGCCAGGCTGGAGTGCAGTGGCGCGATCTCAGCTCACTGAAACCTCTGCCTCCCAGGTTCAAGCGATTCTCCTTCTTCAGCCTCCTGAGTAGCTGGGATGACAGGCATGTGCCACCACGCCCAGCTAATTTTTGTATTTTTAGTAGAGACAGGGTTTCACCATGTTGGCCAGGATGGCCTGCATCTCTTGACCTTGTGATCCGCCCGACTTGGCCTCCCAAAGCACTGAGATTACAGGCGTGAGCCACCGTGTCCAGCCAACTTTTATCTTTTTTTTTTTTTTTTGAGACAAAGTCTCACGCTTGTCACCAAGGCTGAATGCAGTGGCATGATCTCAGCTCACTGCAACCTCTGCCTCCCAGGTTCAAGCAATTCTCCCACCTCAGCCTCCCGAGTAGCTGGGACTACAGGTGCACACCACCATACCTAGCTAATTTTTTTGTATTTTTAGTAGAGATGGGTTTCTCCGTGTTGGCCAGTCTAGTCTCAAATTCCTGACCTCAACCGATCTACCCGAATTGGCTTCCCAAAGTGCTGGAATCACATGTGTGGGCCACCGTGCCCAGCCAAATTTTTGTATTTTTAGTAGAGACAGGGTTTCACCATGTCGGCCAGGCTGGTCTCAAACTCCCAACCTCAGGCAATCCACCCACCTTGGCTTCCCAAAGTCCTGTGATTATAGGTGTGAGCCACTGCACCCAGCCTCTTTTATTCTATAAAGAATTAATAGATTTCTTAAATTTAAGTTATCATTACCCTGCTAGAACAAATTATATTTGGTTTCACTCATCATTCATTTAATAAGTCTCTACTTGGTGCTCCAGGATTTTATTGACAAGTTTTATACCTCTTTTATAAACGAGATCTGCCCAAGTTTCCTTGTATTATGCCCTTCCTGCCCAGTTTCAGTATTAGGCTATGTTAATCTCATAGAACAAAATGGAATGCTTTATTTCATTTTCTATTAAACCACCTACACTGAGGGCCTTCTCAGAAGGTAGTTCTTTTTTTTTTTTTTTTTTTTTTTTTTGAGACGGAGTTTCGCTCTTGTTACCCAGGCTGGAGTGCAATGGCGTGATCTCGGCTCACCGCAACCTCCGCCTCCCGGGTTCAGGCAATTCTCCTGCCCCAGCCTCCTCAGTAGCTGGGATTACAGGCACTCGCCACCATGCCCAGCTAATTTTTTGTATTTTTAGTAGAGACGGGGTTTCACCATGTTGACCAGGATGGTCTCGATCTCTTGACCTCGTGATCCACCCGCCTCGGCCTCCCAAAGTGCTGGGATTACAGGCTTGAGCCACCGCGCCCGGCCGTAGAAGGTAGTTCTTTATCTACCTTTCCCATCATCTCTACAATTGCTAGTCTGATCAAGTTTCCTACCTCTTCTTGAGTCAATTTTTCCTAAACTAATAAGAGTTTAAAATGATAATCAGATACAACTTAAATGTTCAAAAATCACGTTTTCCTTTGAAGAAAGAGTTCAAGACTCAACAGAAATGTTTCAAACTCAAGTTACAAACAAGATTTTTAAATGGCTAACATAAACACAAGGCTGCTAAGCACTTTACAAGGCAGGAACTATGCCTTATTAACTTCATTATTCAACAAACATTCTGGAGTCTATATTATGAGACAAATCGCTAGGTCCTGGAGACACAGAATAATGACCAATCATCAGAGCCCCTAGGGTAGAAAGAGCCCAAAGAGAAGTTTGATAAGC